AACATCCCCACTTCTGACCTTATGATGGAGGGAAGGTCATTGATGAAGCAGCTGAAGATGGTTGGGCCGAGGACATTACCCTGAGGAACTCCTGCAGAGATGTCCTGGAGCTGAGATGATTGACCTCCCACAAACACAACCATCTTCCTATGTGCCAAGTATGACTCCAACCATCAGAGAGTTTGTCCCATGACACCCATTGATTCTAGTTTTGCTCAGGCTCTTGATACCATACTTAGTCAAACATGGCCTTGATGCCAAGGTCTGTCACTCTTACCTGGAATTCAGCTCTTTTGTCCATGTTTGAACCAAGGTTGTAATGAGGTCAGGAGCTGAGTGGCCCTGGCAGAACCCAAACTGGGCGTCACTGAGCAGGTTATTGCTGAGCAGGTGCTGCTTGATAGCACTGTTGATGAGACCTTCCATCACTTTACTGATGATTGAGAGTTGACTGATGGGGCGGTAATTGGCTGGGTTGGGTTCATCCTATTTTTTTGTGTACAGGACATACTTGGGCAATTTTCCACGTTGTCGGGTAGATATCAGTGTTGTAGCTGTACTGGAGCAGCTTGGCGAGGGGAGCGGCAAGTTCTGGAGCACAAACCTTCAGTACTATTGCCGGAATGTTGTCAGGCCCTGTAGCGTTTGCAGTATTCAGTGCTCCCAACTGTTTCTTGATATCACGTGGAGTGAACTGAATTAGCTGAAGACTGGTGTCTGTAATGCTGGGGACCACTGGAGGAGGCTGAGATGGATTATCCACTCGGCACTTCTGGCTGAAGATTGCTGCGAATGCTTCAGCCTCATCTTTTGCACTGATGTGCTGGGCTCTTCCATCATTGAGGATGGGGATATTTGTGGAGCCGCTTCCTTCAGTGAGTTGTTTAATTGTCCACCATCATTCACGACTGGATGTGGCTGGACTGCAGAGCTTAGACCTGATCCGTTGGCTGTGGGATCATTGTACAAGTGATAGCTCTGTCAAACACTTGCTGCTTGTACTGTTTGGTGTGCATCACCAGGTTAACACCTCCTCTTCAAGTATGCCTGACGCTGCTCCTGGCATGTACTCCTGAACGTGGAATGACCTTTGCCCCTGAGGAGCCTGGCAGAGCCAAGAGCTATCTGCAGCTTTCTAGCTGAAGCACCTCACCCTAGGGCTAACTCCAATCTGGGCCATAGAGGTAAAGAGGGCACTGTCCAGTACTGAGATCTGAGCCCCCTCTAGGTGAGCTTGACATGCCCTTATCAGGGCTCAGTCACCCATGGAGGGACTAGAGGGAATAGGGAGCACTACGGAGGAGACATGTCCTTCCTTCATCTTCTGGGGTGTGATGCATGACTGGCCAGTGGAAGCAGATGCAGTAAGGGCATGGGAAAAATGTTTGAGTGGAAAAACAGAATGGCGATGCTGGAGTGAAATGGTCAGCAGCTGTGAGGCTCTTCCAAAGCAATTTCCGATTCTAAAAATCCAGTGTCTGTAAACTTGAGAACCAGCATCTGGGAAAATCACATAGTGGGTTTTGGTGCTGAGGAATTTCAAGGCTTTTCCATCTCCGTCAGTGTTAACCTCATAAATTATCTGTCTTGAAGACAATTTCCATATGCGGTCCACTATTAAATTTTCACAGCTATTAATGCAATTTGGAAGACAGCAGCATCTGTTTAGGATCAATATTGATCACCGGGTTTCTGTCCCCGATTAATGATTGCAAGCAACTCCTTTTCCAATGTCTTCAATCTCATATTGCAAAAGTTGAATCCCATTGAGCTGACGCTGGAGTGTGGAAAATTCTTGCTGGCAACTGTCGGTTACAGCCGGAAGGGTACTAATGCTTAAAGAGACATTGTCTTGAAAGGGACACTAGTCCATTCGAGTGTATAAAAAAACAAATCCTTAATCGCAACTGGGCAGCTTGACAGAGATGGAGAAGCCTTGAAATTCCTCAGCGCCAAAATCTATCATCCCACGATGTGATTTTCCCAGATGCTAGTTCTCGAGGTTTACAAACATTGGATTTTTAGAATTGGAGATTACTTTGGAAGAGTTGTGTAATGAGCCTCACAGCCCCTGTTGTGGTTGGGTCACTGTAGCTGCTCATGGATTCAATCCTAGAGCTGCAGAACCATTAGTATTCAGTGCCCCACTACAGGATTATTGTAAAATAGGGGATACAGCATGGATGGGCTTCAAACTCGATACATTTAGAAAGTGGGAGCTTATATTTAGACAGTGCAGTTCATCATCTGGAGACATTCTGAAGCCCTTTACTGCCAGGGACAGATATTTGAAGTGTCAGAAACATGGCAACCCGGTTGCACAATAAGATCCCACGGGTGGCAATGCATTGCATTTTGTCAAAGCTTTTCATCAGGATAATTCGCAAGAATACCAAGGGAGAAACGTTTTGTTTTAATACTGTTTGAGAAGAATGTGTTGAATGTTTGGCGAGTGGTTTCTGATTGGTGGAGAGATGGCCATGGAGAATGCTCCATGTAGATAATGACTGACAGTCAACTGCTAAGCTTTGTTTAAACTTAGACCAGGCAGGTTAACACTGATAATGGGCCAGCAACATGTCGATGATCACATGATTTGTTTTTAAGCTTTCAGGAGACCAGGGCAAACCCTCTTTTTACCCTTCTTTAAAATAGTGCCCTTGCATCTTTTACAGGCCAGACATGGCTTCAATTTAAAAGGTCGTCCAAATTATGGCACCCCTGACCATGTAGCACTGCTTAAGTCCTGCAGTGGGGAGTCTTGGAGCCTTGTCGTTAAATTTCTGGAGTGGGACTTGAACCCACCACCTCTGACTCAGCAGAGCTGTTGTTGCTATTGGGTCATGTGGATGGGTTCTGTCATTTTGAACAGGGGATGTTGCCAGCATTTATAGTGAACCTAAGATGGGGGTGTGAGGAGAAAGCCCTCAAGAAGTGATGGGTCCTGCTAATCGTCACAGTGGAGCCTCACTTAAATAAAAGGATGGGGATTCCAACCTGTGACCACTTTTATTCCAGGTCAGGGCAGTTCAAACCAGGTTACTACTTGGTATGGGTCATGGTTTTCAGGCATGAGTTTTGCAAAAACAGAGCTCAGATTAAAGCGGATATCTTAACATTGATGGACGGGCTGCAGGCTTCCAGAACTTTATGTTGACTCCTGATCCTCAACTTTCAGTCCAAAGAGGCGAGTCAGATTGGATAGTGACCTCCAGGAGACAAACTAAGAAAGGACTTGAAATGTTAACTCTCTCCACAACTGCTGCCAGACCTGCTGAGTTTCTCCACCACTTTGTCCCTTTGTTTCTGATCTCCAGCATCCCCTGCTCTATGCTTCAGTTTGATATTTGGCAGGGATTGGTGTTCCTATTCCTGATCTGTGGGGTTAGCAGCAGGTCACCATACAGGGGGAGATATTCCACGTGTTGTGTCAGTACAGCTAGCCTGAAAGGAATTGGCTTCTCAGTGTCAGGGGGAAAACCATCTGTATCCGAGTTCATATCTCCTGGGGATGGCTTGTAGCGAGTTTGAAATGAATGGTGCGGTGTTAGAACTGATACAGTGTTCACCACATCACACAAGCCCAGTGTCATGAGTGCATGGTGTCTTTAAGCCCACGTGCTGTTGTGTGCATGAGGACAGCTACCTCTCTGGTCTAACTAAAAGAATCTTGTTGTGGTTTAAAAAAATATATATATATTTTGCTGCAGGTAACATGTATATGACTATATGATGCAGAGACTGTGAGGAAAATTCTCAGTGTCATAGAGATGTACAGCATGGAAACAGACCCTTCGGCCCAACACATCTGTGCCGACCAGATATCTGAAATTAATCTAGTCCCATTTGCAACATTTGGCCAGTATCCCTTAAACCCTTCCTATTCATATACCCATTCGGATACATTTTAAATTTTGTAATTGTATCAGCCTCCACCACCACCTCCTCTGGCAGCTCATTCCAAACATGCACCACCTTCTGCATGAAAGAGTTGCCCCTCAGGTCCCTTTTAAATCTTTCCCTCCTAACTTGAACCTATGTCCTCTAGTTTTGGATTCACCTGCCCTGGGGAAAAATACCTTGACTATTCACCCCATCCATGTCCCTCATGATTTTATAAACCTCTACAAGGTCTCCCCTTCAGCCTCGGACGCTCCAGGGAAAATAGCCCCAGCCTATTCAGCCCCTCCCTATAGCTCAAACTTTTACAACCAATCCTTATAAATCTTTTCTGAACCCTTTCAAGTTTCACAACATCTGTCCAGGGTGACCAGAATTGAATGCAGTATTGTAAAAGTGGCCTCACCAATGTCCTGTACAACTGCAACATGACATCCAAGACCTCCCGCTCACCCAGGACTGTCTCCCATCGGATTCTTCTCTCCTCTGACCCAGGTCGCATCATCTCCATAGGTGGTACATGCAGCACGCCGTCCTGTTTTAACCCTTTCAGGCCAATACGTGACGGAGGGTTATGCACACTTGCTTTGTTTAAGAGGCTGATGTGAGGAAATGTTGTGCGTTTTGTTACTTTCATGTTATCATTTTGTATTATTCCACAAGATCACTCGCACCCATCGCACCAACTGAACCCGATCACAGTTCTGGTGATTAGAGTTCTGAGGAAGGATCACCGGCCCGAAATGTTAATTCTGATTTTTTTTCTTCACAGTTGCTGCCAAACCTGCTGAGCTTTTCCACCAACTTCTGTTTGTGTTCCTGATCGCAGATATAGTTGTTGCTCTGTCAGTGTGACGAAAGCTGCCTTTGAAGGACTAGGAGAGTACACAACCCAAAAACCTGGTTCTGATTTTGAAGGGATGTCAGTAATGAAGTCGGATATGATGCAGTCTCTCTGTCCTTTCAGTGCAGACTGGGGACAGGAATGGATCTGTCATCATGCTGTAACTTTGCGGTCAGTCGTGTGTGAAACAGCATGCAGGGATTCTGGTCTCACCGCATTAAACTGACCTCGTTCGTTCTGGTGCGTGATCTTGCAGAGTTGCATTGGACCATCCACCCCTTTATCGATGCTGAGCGTAGGCGATGGAGCAAACCAACAGCCCGACACAACTGTACTGAGACCAGACAGCGCCTGGAGACCTCCATGGTGATAAACGAGACCTGGGTATGCAGTGTGGAGTTAAAGCTTGGATGGATGTCAACAGTTCAGCAGCCAAGACAGATAAGCCTTTGAGAGGTTCTGGCAGGGGCTAGGCCCAAGACCAGGTGAATATCATCGCAGTCTGCTCATCCCCATGAACCACTTCACCACCACCGCCTCCGTACGGGGGAAAACCCAACAACAGTGAGGTTCTATATACCAGTCAATCCATTCAATTCCCATCAGGGCACAGTTCCCTTTGCTGTATTATTTCAAAACCCTTTACCCTTGCATCCTGCTTGTCCTCCACCCTATCCCAGACTGTCCTTTTTTGTTCTCTTCACTCCCCCACTGCCCTTTCACAGACTCAGCCCCCGCTACATTCTGACCTTTTCTCAGTTCTGATAAATGGTCACTGGCCTGATCTCCTGACTCTGTCTCCATAGACTCTGCCTGAGTCTTTCCACAATCCCCTGTTTTTATTCCAGGTTCCCAGCTTCTGCAGGATTTTGCCTTTACATAGAATCTCTACAGTGTGGAAGCAGACCATTCAGCCCATCAAATTCACACTAACCCTCCCAAGAGCATCCCACCCCCTCTGTCCCATCCCTGTAACCTTGCATTTCCCATGGCTAATCCACCTAACCTGCACATCATGGACAATGTGGCATGGCTAACCCACCTAAACCATTTAGATTGTGGGAGGAAACCCACACAGACACGGGGAGAATGTGCAAACTCCACATGGATGCTCACCTGAGGGTGGAATCGAACCTGGGTCCCTGGCGCTGTGAGGCAGCCATGCTAACCACTGAGCCACCATGCTGCTCCTTCAGATCACATTAAGCCAGACTGAGGTATTCTGGCAGCACTGGGATGGCTGACTGACAGCTTAGCAAAGATGGAGCTACCGAAGCTCAATTTGAAAGCGAGAGAGGGAGAGAGAGATGGGTGGAGAAGTTTAGGGAGGATATTCCAGAATTCAGGACCAAGGCATCTGAGGAGACGATGGTGGGACTTGAAAATCAGGGATGTGCAAAAGGGCTGAACTCCAGAGAGACAGCGAAATTTAGAGGGCCAGAGGAGATTGGAGCCGTGGAGGGATTGATCTGTCACTCTGTTGGTTGAATATTCCACCCAGTCTAATCCCACTCTCCCCATCACTCCCCACACTCTGTAATATCCCACCCAGTCAAATCCCACTCTCCCCCCTCACTCCCCACACACTTTAATATCCCAACCAGTCTAATCCCACTCTCCCTCTCACTTGCTCAACACAACAACAACCTGTATTTACAAGGTGTCTTTAATGTAATCGAACATTCCAATGTGCTACATAGGAGCCTTATTTAGCAACGTTTGACAACATTGTTGACATGTGGGGTTGGGGTATTAGGTTTGAATGTAAAAGCTTAATTAAAGAGATTGATTTAAAAGAGGTTTAAAAGTGGAAGAGAGTGTCGACAGGGAATTGGAGAGACTGATGCTTCGGTAACCAACAATGTGTAATTAAAACTGGGAATGCAGCAAGGGGAAAGGGTTAGAGGGGTGCTGATATCTCGAGACGGCCGTGGAATTGGAGGAGAATACAGAGATAGGGAGAGTCAAGGCCATGGAGGGACTTGAAAAGCAGGATGAGAATTTTTTTTAAACAATTGAGATGTTGCTTGAGCAGGAGCTGGTGTAGGTCAGACAGCAGAGGGACAGATAAGGAAACAGACTGGCTGCAAATTAAGGCAGAGGAAACAGCATCTTGGATAATCAAGCTTCCAGAGGATTGTATGTCAGAGAGGAGCCGGGAGTGTGTGAGAATAGCTGAGTCTGGAGTTGGATGAGAATTTCAGCAGCAAATGATCTGAGACAGGACGACATCATATAGGTGGAAATTACTGGTTTCAGTGAAGAGATCGGAAGCTCATCTTGAGGTCAAATGTGACACCAAGTTTGTGAACAGACCGGCTTCATCCCAGACTGTTTCCATGGAGAAGGATGGAGTCAGTGCCTAGGCAATGGAATTTGCAGCCCGAACTGAGAAGAATGACTTTCAATTTCTTACCCCTCCTCCCTATTGGGTATTCGAAGAAAGAATTTGCATTTACATGATGCCTCAACCTCCCAAAACTCAATACTTTGGAATATTGGAAACCGCCGGCAAACTTACTGACAGTAACGGTAGTAATGTTTACTGAAGGATAACTGTTGGCCAGGGCACCAGGGTTAACTCTGCTACTCTGCGTTAAACAGTGTCACTAGATCATTCATATTGACCTGTTGGGGCAGAAGGGCCTATGGTTTAATGCTTTGTCAGAAAAATGGTGCCTCTGACAGTGCAGTGCTCCCTCAGCACAGCACTTCAGTAATCAGCCTGAATTGGGCGCCACTGTGTGGCTTTAGCCCAGGACTGGACTTAGTTGAGAGGGAGCCTAGAAGGGTTTACATACAGTACTGCTGACTGGGGCGGAGTAGGGAGGACAAGGTTAAAACTGGCAAATGGAGGCTGTTAGCACAAACATACAGTGCTGGAGACAGGGCTGTTGTGGCGCAGTGATAATGTCCTTACTTCTGAGCCAGCAAACCCAGGTTCAAGACCCATGTGCTCCAGAGGTGTGCAATACCATCTCTGAACAGGTTGATTTGAAATAGCCACCACCTGGAGGCAAGTTCACTCATTGACCCTTTTGGATATATTCAAGCGATCGGGCAGGATATAGAATCTCAGAAACCCTACAGTATGGAAGCAGGCCATTTGGCCCATCGAGTCTACACCGATCCTCCGAGGAGCATCTCACCCAGACCCAACTCACGAGGAAACCCACGCAGACACGGGGAGAATGTGCAAACTCCACACAGACAGTCACCTGAGGGTGGAATCGAACCCAGGTCCCTGGTGCAGTGAGGCAGCAGTGCTAACCGCTGAGCCACCATGCCACTCCCAGGGGGAATGAAGCAGTAAGCCCTGCTCTTTGCCATTTTTAAGATCTGTTCAGGGTAGGGCACAATCCCCAATTGCCCAGAGGTCACATTGCTGAGAGTCTGGAGTTACATGTAGGCCAGACCAGGTAAGGGTGGCAGATTTCCTTCCTTAAAGGACATTAGTGAACCAGATGGCATTTTCTCCCAAAGATTGGCAATCATTCGACTGTTCATTCCAGATTTTTATTGAGTTTCAATTTCACTATTGGCCATGGTGGGATTCAGACTCATATCCCCGGCACATTGGCCTGGAGTTCCCTGGATTACTGAACCCGGTAACATTACTGAAGCACCAAGCCAGCGCCCTCTGCCTTTGCTGCATGATGTTTTGTCCCTGTTTCTGTCCTGCTTAGATGTGCTTAGATCTGGCTCAGTGTTCTCAATCTCCCTTTGTCAACAGAGAGTGGAAACTTGTGAGTTGGAGAACTCCCAGCTTAAAGTGCAGAACCCAGCAAGTACCACAGGCCCAATGGAGCTGAACAGACAAAGCATGGAGACAAAAGCAGAGGATGGACAGGTAAGTCTACTCCCATGAGACGGATCAATTTCATGCTGTGTGAGGTTTTGAACCTGTAATTGTCAAACCTTTGTAAACATGATGGAGAGTGTACCAGGCTAATGAGAGGGAGGATGCATCTATTTTTGAAGAGATGGCAGAGATACTGGGAGACAGTAAGGACTGCTGATGCTGGCAGCTAGAATCAATAAATGTGGAGCTGGAAATGCACAGCTGGTCAGACAGTATCCGAGGAGCAGGGAAGTCAACGTTCCAGGCCTAATCCCAGATACTGGGACTATATCCACTGGATCCAACAATGTGAGGAGCAGATTTCATTGGGTTTTGCAATGGTGCAAAGGTTTTGATGGAGAAAGCAGGTGAAAGACATTTCCTTTCTGTTGGATAGCCATGGATGATGGTTCTCCAGTTTAGCATTCTGTTCGAGTGGATGACGGGAGGTGGTAAATGTCTGTACCTGGAGATTGCTGAACATAATGTCTGAGAGTGAGTCAGACTGGTTGAGACGGAGAGTCTAACATCCTTTCAAGAAAATAGATTAAGCCTATCAATCAGAAGTTATAGAACTATGAGGAGAGATTATGATCAGTTTGGGATAGTCAGAGACTTTCTCCCAGGGTGGAAAGGTCAATTACAAGAAGGCACAGGTTAAAGGTGAGAGGGGGAAAGTTTAGGGGAGAAGTGCGGGGAAGATTTTTCACACAGAGGGTGGTGGGTGTACGGAAAGCACTGCCATTGGAGGTGGTGAAAGCAGGCATGTTAGCAACAGTTAAGGCAGATCTTGATACACATGAACGGGAGGTGAACAGAGGGATAGATACCACAGGTGGGCAATAAGTAGCAGGTCTAAATAACGATTAGGAATCAACACCGGCTTGGTGGGCAGAAGGGCCTGTTCCTGTGCTGTATTGAATTGTATTGTTTCGGTACAGGGCTATGAGGGTGAGTGAGGCAGTGGGATTATTCTGGGATTGATACAGGGCTATGGAGAAGAGTTCCGGGGGAGTGGGATTAATTTGGGATTGATACAGCCATGAATGAGGACAGATACAATGTCTCTGTGTCTATGATGTGATTCTAAAGGAATTGTGAATTTCATTCATCAGTTACCAGCGGTTTGATAGCGGTGACTGTTGTGGGAACATTGTTTGTGAATTGTCTACCCTGGACTGTGAGACTGCATCACCAGGAGCGTTGTGTCAGATTCTGATGCTTTAGCCCCTGACAGGGTAGCTTCCAGTAGAGAGTTACCCTCTTGGCCAAAATGTGTTAGCCTCCCCAACACTGTTCTGGGCTTGGGAGGTCCCCAGCCTGGCTGAGCTGGGTTGAGGTGTAGTCCTTGCATTGCTGGCTTCCTGATGAAAGGCGTGTGCTATTGTGTCATGGTGTGCAGCTCATTCTGAGTGAGACCCAGCTGCAGGGGGGCAGGATTCCAGAGGCTGGAGGACATGAGGAATCAGAGCCAGTCCCTCTGGTAGTACTTGCCAAGACGGTGACCTTGTTTCACAAAGTGATTTTCAGCAGGCAGCCCCAGCCAGCACTGCCTGAATTATAGGCAGCCTGCCGAATGATTTAATTCCATGCCAATCAAAGGCAGAGTCTGCAGAATCAATTAAGGTTGAAACTTCTTGCTTTGGCCCCGGTTGGAAGGGCGGTTTCGGAAACTTGAGAGTGGAAATCCTTAACTGTTTTACAACCTGACTGTTTATGAAGCTCCACTTCAGAGTGATCAGACAGCAGTGTGTCGACATTCAAACCAACAACAACCTGCATTTATGTAGCACAGTGACTCTGATTGATCATGAAGAAGCCTAGTGACACCCAAGGAAAAGGTAATAAGGCACACGCAGTGAAAGCTCAGTCACAGAGTCATACAGCATGGAAACAGACCTTTCGGTCCAACCAGTCAATGCTGGCCATAATCCCAAACTAAACTAGTCCCACCTGCCTGCGCTTGCCCATATCCCTCCAAACCTTTCTTATTCACGCACTTATCCAATTGTCTTTTAAATATTGTAATTGTATCCACATCCACCACTTCCTCTGAAAGTTCATTTCATACACACACCACTCTTTGTATAAAAAAAATCCCCTCATCTCCTCTTTAAATCTTTCTCCTCTCACCTTAAAAATGTGCCTACTACTCTTTGAATCCCCCTCCTAAGGAAAAGACACCCGCCATTCAACTTATCTATACCCGTCATGATTTTATAAACCTCTATAAGGTCACTGCTTGACCTCCTATGCTCCAGTAAAAAAAAATCCCAGCCTATCCATATAACCCAAACCCTCCATTCCCAGTACATCCTGGTAAATCTCTTCTGAACCCTCTCCAGCTTAATAATATCCTTCCTATAACAGGGCGACCAGAACTGGACACAGTACTCCAGAAGAGGCCTCACCAATGTCCTGTACAACCTCAACATAACGTCCCAACTCCTACACTCAAAGGTCTGAGCAATGAAGGCAAGTGTGCCAAATGCCTTTTTAACTACCCTGTCTACATGTGACGCAAACTTCAAAGAATTATGTACCTGAAACCCTAGGTCTGTCTGTTCTACGACATTACCCAAGGCCCTACTTCTAATTGTATAAGTCCTGCCTTTGTTTGTTTAACCAAGATGCAATACCTCGCATTTATCTAGATTAAACTCCATCTGCCACTCCAGCCCATTGACCCAACTGATGAAGGTTTCTTTGTAATCTTAGACAATTCTTCAAAGGGGTTGGTTTTAAGGGGATTCTTAAAAGATGAGAGGGAGGTTTATGGAGGGAATTGCAGAGAATCAAGAGATTCACCTGACTGATAGCTAAGGTTGGGGGAATTACCTATAGAAGAAAGGTTGGATAGGCTGGGCCTTGGAGTTTAGAAGAATGAGAGGCAATCTTATTGACATGTCTATGATCTGCAGGAAAGCTTATTAGGTGGATGCTGATTCCCTGTCGTGGAAATTCTGTGCGAAGTCTTTCCTGACACAATGGTAAACAAGGTATTTTAGAGCTCTTTTCTCAGGATCATTTACCACTTGGTCTGTACCATACAACTTCATATTTTTTTTGAACATCTGTAGCTTAGAAAGGTGTCATTGGAAGTTCAATCCATAATGTTTCCATTATCCATGATTCAGCTTGGAAACTGTTGGACTGCATCTTTAAGCCACGTGTCTCTGGAAATTAGAAATTCTCCACCTTCAATAGCCAGACTCTGCAGCTGTCAAGCGATTTTTACTTTTGTGTCAACTTTCGTGAACAAAGCTTCCAGCTCTCTGTAATTCTCTACAATGTGCTCAAAACTGCAGGCTGTTTCATTTTTTGTTTTAATTTTCCTTGGTGTGATTGTAAGCATCTGGGTGGGGGATATTGCGATATTGAAGAATTTAATAGACATTTCTCGCAGCCAACTATTATAAAGAGACATTGCATTCACAGATACACAAGTGTCTGGGTTAACCTTGAACTATTCAGTTACGTAGCAGCATGCCATGCTGAAGGGTGTAAACCCGAAACATCCACTCTCCTCCTCCTCTGATGCTGCCTGACCTGCTGTGTTCCTCCAGCTCCATGTTATATTGACAATGCTTCATGTGATCCCTGGGGAAGATGGAGCACATTTTTATTCTCAGGTCACAAATAGTGGTGATTTTGTGAATGTGTTTCTTGAAGTGATTCTGACTGTAAAATACAAAACAGTTTCCTCTGGCTTACCACCAAAAGCCAGGTTCTGAGTGTTCTAACTCAGAAATTCTGTCGTCATCCTGCCTCCACTTTTCTCTCTCCTGTTATTTGTTCAGCCTTCCGTGTAAGCGTTAGTTGTAACTACTGGCTCTTTAGCAAGAGGAACTGTGTCCCATTGAACAGTCAAGTCTATCCCTCAAGTAAGGAGACCAAAAGCATATGTAGTCCTCTTGTTGCAGTATAGCTCTGTCATATGGCATCATTTTGGAAGCCTCTGAATCAAGTCCAAACAAACTATATTGTAGAGAATTTGTCTGCCTTCCTTCTTTGGAAAAAAATGTTTACGAGGGTTGTAAAGCCTGGGGACTCTTGACATGTCCTGTTTTGGCTCAACTGGGTTATATACTGAAAGCCTTGCTGCAGAGTTCTGTCCTGAAGTTGCAGAAAATAAAGTTGGTATCTGAAAGGCTTTGTGAGTATGCTTCAAAATGCTGACTGCCAGGATGATGTCTTGTTGGATTTTAATCAGTAAGCTTGGCTAACTGTCGGTTTAACTGCTATCAACAATTGCCTAAACGCAATTCAGATACAAACATGTTACAGGTTTGGTGCCTGTGTCTGATTGGTGAATGTTGCAGTGCCTCCTATGATAGAGGGTTTCGGAGAAAGAGAACGACTGATTGGAATCTCTTACAGAGAGGCAATACAAGCAAGAAGGGCTGAATGGCCTCCTTTTGCCGTGTATAATGCTCTTTTTCTAAATTGTTCCGTTGCCTGCGCCTGTGACTAAACCTCAAATATTCATTCTTTTTGATGACTTACAGGAGACGAGAAAGTCCGAGCTCAAAACTGCGCCGGAAGAAAAGGAGGCATCGACGACGGAGGTGCTGCAAGTGAGTCTGCTGTTGAGTGTCACCCTGGGGTGGCCTGGTGCCACTCAATGGTGCTGACTCCCATTGCCTTCTGAGGCAGAGAGTCCTCATTTCACACAAATCCACGGGGAAAACACCTCTCTTCCTCTCTGCCCCGACTTTGTATGTTCACATGCAGTGATCGCGGTGGTCATTGCAAGAGAGACTCTGCTAAAATGATGACTAGCTTAGGGCACAGACTGCCTGGTCGTCATGTCCACCTTCTCAATAAGTCCAGGCTGAAGCACTACCTCGAGATCTGGCTTATTGGAGCTGCCGTGCTCTGAATCACTGTACTGGTGATCCCATTTGGGAAAGATGCAAAGTTTTTGGAAAAGGTGCAGAAAAGATTTACAGCCACGGTTTTTGATGATGAGAGACTTCAATTCGTTGGGTGGGTGAGGGAAATTGGGACTGGAAGTTGAGCGGAGAGGTGGGTCAGAGGTCTGGACAGAGTAGACAGTGAGAAACTGTTCTCTCTCGGCAGGAGCGCTGTGACCCATGGATTTAAGCTGAGTGGCAAAAGAAACAATGGTGACATGAGGAAAATCTCTCTTTCTGCAGTGAGTCTGGACTATGGTAGAGGCAGACTAAACCCTGCCTTTCAAAAGGGAATGGGATCATTGTTCAGAATAGAAAGATTTGCAAGGCGACAGGGAAGGCTGGGGGTGGAGGGGAGAATGGCAGGTGACTAGCTGCATGGCTGTTACAAAGACCTGCTGGGAACACAGTGGGCTGAATGGCCTCCTGTCTTGTGATCCTACATTTTAGGTGACAGAGTTGGGGAATCCACATTGGGTGTTTCTGAAAACCAAGTCCACTGTGACCAGAAATTGGGAACCAATCCTGGGGTTTAGGCCAAAGAGAGTTGGTGTTAGAGAGATGTTACCTTAACATTTCCCCTGATCTGCTGAGTGATCTATCCATGGAGTCACATGGCTAAGTTTAATTGGTATTTCATTCTTAAATATCCTTTTAAGTGCTGAATGGCCAGTTATTTCCATGGAAATCCGTTGCTGTAGTAATCTGGTTGAATAGGAAGTTTACGTTTTGAGATTCCTGGCTGGTTGTGGTGGAGATGCCTTTAGCCTATTTTGGGGCCTGCAATGCTGCAGCTCCGAAGCAAGGGAGTTCGGGCCTTACCTGCGGCTGGGCCACAGGCCTTGTTCATGAATTGTTAGTCTGCTCCAGTCAGCAACAGAGGTCCAAAGGATTGGAAGCAAAATTTTTCAGGATATGGTGGGGTATGGGAGGTTTCTGCTCCTCTTGTTTCATCAGTAATGTTCTGTGGTTTTTAAGAACTTTCGGGGCTGTCATGGAGTCAAGGGGCTGTAGTTGTAGAGTAGCTGCAGGAAGGATGTCTCCCTCTGACTGGAGTGAGCGTTGTTCAGAACTAGCCTCAGAATAAGGAGCAGGTCCATTGAGACTGAGACGGGGAGGAATTTCTTCACTCGGGAAGGGGAATGAATTCTTGGAAATGCTGTACTCCAGAAGACTGTGGAGGTTCAGTCATTGACAGAATTGGCAGAGATTCATAGACTTTTTTTAGATATTAAGGCATCAGGGATATGGGGATAGTGCAGGAAAATGGCATTGAAGTAGATATTGGTAATGATTTAGAAAACAGAACAAACTTAAGGGGCCAAATGGCCTACTCCTGCTCCAATGTTCCTATTTGCCAGTTTTAAAAATTTTGTCTTCTAGTGCTAATCCTCCATGCTCTTGCTCGTCCCCTAGCTTCATGACAACTTCTATAACTTCAACTTATAAACCCTCTGAGGTGTCTACATCACTCCAATTCCAACCTCCCATGCATCCCCTGATGTCCTTCATCTCATTTCTTCGGTCTCTTAGGCCTCGCTGATGCTGTCAACCTTTCTCCCCTGTTTTAAGAAGCTAGTTTGTATTAATTTCCGCAGCTAAGTCTCTAGGCCCTCTTCCAAGTGTCTCTATATATGACTCAGGGTCCAATCTTATCTGCTTGTCACTCCTGTGAAGCACCATGGGAGGTTTTACAATGTCAGCGGTGTCAGATGAATGTAAGTTATTGTTGTTGTTCATTGTTGTGTACTAGGATCAGGTTGATGGGGTGTGATTGGACGCCTGTTGTCCCAGGGGCACATTCAGAAATTGAGTGATCACTTCCACGAGGTTCCTATCAAACCACTTCCAGTCCAACCTCATGGGCTGATGCCCTGTCCATATGCACAGTGACTGCATGCTGGGGTTTGGGGCTGAGAGAGCAGGGCCCAGGGAGAGTGAGGAAGCCATTCACCTCTAGTTGAGGGCTTCAATGCCTGAATTTGAAATACATGAAACAAGAGCAGGAGTTGGACACTCAGCCCCTCAAGTCTGCTCTGCTAGATCATGGCTGATCTTCCACCTCAATGCTATTATTCCGATATGCTCTCCCACTCAGCCTCCACGTTCTGGACTGTCCCATCAGAGGAAATAATTTCTTGGCCTCTTTGACCTGTCAGCACTTTATGAATATATCAACACTGAACAACCAATCAGCACTGTTTGTCTTCTGTGATGTAAGTTGTTGTGATTGTTTGAAATTTGGCATTCTTGCATATGTCCTGACGAGTGCCAGAGAAAAAGCTTCAACAGCATGTCTCGCTTCAAAAGTGCTTTATTGGCTGCAAAGCTTTCGGGGGATGTCCCCGAGGCGGTGAAAGGCACAATATAAATGCAGACTTTGCATGGTGTGGGAAGTGACGTTGGATTTGGGTTTATTTGCAGAGCACACCGCTGGATATCATTGACATTGGGAAAGGTTTGAAGATGCAGTCGGAGAAACCCCACTTAGTGAGTCTGGGTCGTGGCCGCCTGAGCATTGCTATTACACTGCTGCCAATAAATGAGGGTAAGAAACAGGCATTCTGCTTAAGTTCATGGTCCATCTGCTCGATACAAAGTTGTCCTCTCAAGCATACAACTACATTTATTTATTTGTTTATTTTCCTTTTTTCTTTCATGAGATGTGGGCATTGGCCACTTGTTGCCCATCTTTAACGTTGAACTGAGTGACTTTCGAGAGTCATTTCTGAGTCAGCCACATTGCTGTGGGCCTAGACTCATGTGTAGGTTGAACCGGGTAAGGACGGCAGATTTCCTTCCCTAAAAGATGCTCATGAACCAGATGGGTTTTGACAACAATTGACTGCTGTTGTCATGGTCACCATCCACTGAGACCAGCTTGCGATCCCAGATTTATTACCAACATGAGAACCAGGTGCTGGCCATTCAGCCCATCAATGAGTCTGTTGCTGATCTTCCACTTCAGCCTGTTTTCCTGCACTATCTCTACTTCGTTTGTCCCTTTTAACATATAAAAATCTATTATTATTGTCAGAATTTATTTCCACCAGCTGCTGAGTTGAGATTTGAATGCGTGGACCCACAGAGCTTTGTGTTCTTGGAGAAGGGTAACCAGATCCAAAACGTTAACTCTGATTTTTCTTCACAGATGCTGACAGACCTGCTGAGCTTTTTCAGCAACTTCTGTTTTTGTTTCCCACAGAGCTTTAGCCTGAGCCCTCCTGATTTATTAGGCCAGTGGCATTACCACGATACCACGGTCTACACACATACACATACACATATGCACAGAGAGACGTGCACACAGGAAGATACACAGACGCAAGTAGATGTGTACATAGACACAGGCAGATGGGCACACACAGACAGGTCCAGGCAGACATGCACACACATTCAGGCACAGGCAGACTTGCGCACACATTCAGGCACAGGCACAGACGCACATGCACACGCACACAGACAGATACAGGCACGGATGTAGACACACCCAGACAGGTGCAGGTGCACATGCGCAAGTGCACAGACAGATGCGCACACACAGACAAGCACAGGTGCAGACAGACGCAGGCGCACACACACCGACACAGGTGCACACAGACAGGTGCAGACGCAAGCACACACAGACAGGCACAAACATACACACACATGCAGAAGCACAGACACAGAGACGCACAGCCAGACACACACGCACTCACCCTTCCCTGTGATTTATCAATGTGTACTAATGTCCAATGATCATTTCATCGATGACGAAGTGGAAGCTGAAAGGGGAGTTACACAAGATGTGGTCAGTCCACAGTAAAAGCATGAGAGAGTGAACTGTCCAAGGGCAGTGACCACTAGACTATTGCAACATGCCATTTGTTCACAAGAAATCCCCGCTCAAACATGGCCCCAGCTGGAGCCGGATATTTGGTTCAATTCCTGGATGAGGCGATCAGCTGAAACCTGTAAACAAGCTCAACAGGCTGATGGATTGGATCTCTGGTCCTGAAGCATCTCACTTGCAGTCAGAGTAGAGGGGGTGTGTGCTACAGTGAAGGTCAGGTCCCCTGAGTTAGGGAGGGGAGTGACAACGCGAGGTAGGTGGGGCTTTACAAATGCTGTTGACCAGCTGTGGGCTCTGGCAGCTCCGGACTGTGAGATTCCAGTAGAGATTGCAGCAAAAGTAGTCGTGTATCCCTTTCTTTCTCACCCCTGTTTGAGTCTTTCATTATGACAGTCAGCCTCAGTCACTATCAGAGTTGAGAACACTGAGGACTTGTGCAGCATCCAAACTCAATCCTGATTTGACCTAAATCAGCGACTTCAGGACTGAAGGTAGGAGGTAATGACTGAAAATAGATTGATGTTAATTTCATAGAGAAGTATGTTCAGATGCATTTTAAATGCTTATTAATTGAGAAAATAAACATACTTGTAGTCTTTTTAACCTTGCATGGTGCTCACACGTTTAAATGTAAAAAATAACGAGTCCAACTGAAACTGAGGATATTGTGGGGCTCTTATATTGTCAATTTTGTTCCCTGACTTAAGAGTGGATGGGTTATATGAAGCTCTGTAGCAGACCCCGATTCCGTCTCTCTCGAGCTGGGTAAATACACAAACTGTATTCAGTATTCAACATAAAAGTTTGGGAGGGAAGCCAGTTTGCATGAGTCCTTGTTTTGATGGATTACTCAGATGTCTGAGTGAGCTCTCTGTTTACATTGAGGCATTGCTGGTGCTGGAACATCTGCAGCGAGCTGGATCTATCACATTTGAAACTTTACTTCCTTCATTCTTTCATGGGCTGTTGGCATCACTGGCAATCATAGAGTCCCTACAGTGTGGAAGCAGGCCATTCGGCCCATCAGGTCCACAACAACCCGCCCCCCCCTTACTCTATTCCTGCATTTTACTATGACTAATCCCCAGAAAGACACACCAATGTTAGCAGCTTTTGCGTGTGCACAATAAGTTCAGAAGGCACCATTTGGAACAAATCATGTCTTTTTCTTTTCCATGAGTTAAACTATTACTTGGCCAATGTAGTTTAAAGTTAGCATTCTGCAGAGTTTACATTTTTTATATGATTGTGTAATGTTTTTTAAAGGGTAGATATTTATTTGCACAACTGTTTGTCAGTATTTTTTGCATCTTTGAGAGAGTAGGTATTTGTTGTTGAATAAAGAAACTGGTTCTTACTGTGGAACTTGATACAATCTGAGACGTGTAGATATATTCTAATCAAACTGTTTAAAGATGTCACTACAGACTTCTGGAGCAGTGAGACTTGAACCCAGGCTTTCTGAGGGCACAAAAGCCCTCAGTCTGAGACCTATATATTTGGCAATATCACCACGCTGGTTAAATTTAAAGATAGTGGGAACTGCCAATGCTGGAGAATCTGAGATAACAAGGTGTAGAGCTTGGTGAACACAGCAGGCCAAGCAGCATCAGAGGAGCAGGAAAGCTAACATTTTGGGTCTAGACCCTTCTTCAGAAATGGGAGAGGGGAAGGGATTCTGAAATAAATAGGGAGAGAGGAGGAGGCAGATAGAAGATCGATAAAGGAGAAGATAGGTGGAGAGGAGTTAGCCAGGTCAAAGAGGCAGGGTTGGAGCCAGTAAAGGTGAGTGTAGGTGGGGAGTTAGGGAGGGGATAGGTCAGTCCAGGGAGGACGGACAGGTCAAGGAGGTGGGATGAGGCTGGTAGGTAGGAGATGGGGGTGGGGCTTGAGGTGGGAGGAGTGGATAGGTGGAAGGAAGGACAGGTTAGGGAGGCGGGGATGAGCTGGGCTGGTTTTGGGACGTGGTCAGGGGAGGGGAGATTTTGAAGCTTGTGAAGTCCACATTGATACCATTGGGCTGCAGGGTTCCCAAGCGGAATATGAGGTGCTGTTCCTGCAACCTTCAGGTGGCATCGTTGTGGCACTGAAGGAGGCCCAGGATGGACATGTCGTCCAAGGAGTGGGAGGGGGAGTTGAAATGGTTCGCGACTGGGAGGTGCAGTCGTTTGTCGCGAACTGAGCGTAGGTGTTTCACAAAGCGGTCCGCAAGCCTCCACTTGGTTTCCCCGATGTAGAGGAGGCCACATCGGGAACAGCGGATACAGTATACCATATTAGCAGATGTGCAGGTGAACATCTGTTTGATGTGGAATGTCTTCTTGGGGCCTGATATGGGGGTGAGGGGGAAGGTGTAGGGGCAGGTGTAGCACTTGCTGCGGTTGCAGGGAAAAGTGCTGGGGGTGGTGGGGCTGGAGGGGAGTGTGGAGCAGACGAAGGAGTCACGGAGAGAGTGGTCCCTCCGGAAAGCAGATAAGGGTGGGGAGGGAAAAATGTCTTTGGTAGTGGGGTCAGATTGCAGATGGCGGAAGTGCCGGAGTTGTTGTGACCTGTCGAGGAATGGGATTAGAAAAGGAAACAGCGACCTCAGTCATAATACTTGGCTTCCATTTCTTTCTCATTACACTACATTACATTCCTCCAGGTTAAAGCTGCTATAAGTATAAGCAAATTGTTACAGTGCTCTCCCATAATGAACCACTCATGACCCTTAGTTCTTCTTCACTTTGGAATTGTTGACAAGGCAGTTGAGTTTTGATATCCATCTTAATTTGTCCCAGTTTCACCAGTCAAAAGTGGTGAGCTGGTCGAGCTTACTACTGCATGGCAAGGTAGATGAGATAAATAATATTATGAAAGAAGTTGGAGTGCTGCACTGAATCCTTTCCCAGTTCCACTCCTCTACTGGTCATGATAAAGTTTTAATTTAACCAGGATGGTAATTTGGGCACATTATGTAAATCTATCAGGTTTAATATTAGAAGCAAGTCAGCCAGATTTCATTAGTTAACTCTATTATAAATACAACTGAATCAACGCAGTTGCGAAGATTATTGACAGGTTGGACAATGCAAATATATAAATAATTAACTGTCTTTAAAAAAACACACGCGCAGGCCTGAGGAAAAACAAAGATAAAGGAAAACTCTGCTGAGTGTTAACTTAAAGGTACTTTGGCCAAATGAAAATTACACTGAGAAGAAAGGGTTAAGTCACAGATTATCCTGTATGGTGAGCTATATCCAAAGTTATTCTGTAAATGTGAACCCGTGGCACAGGGGTGTCACACTAGGACAGTTGTAACTGGCTAAATTCCCTTTGGCTAGAGATGGTGAGTTAGGTTCTGAAGTCCACTTCAGGAACCCTCTGTGAATGGTAAAAATGACCACTAGTGCATTTTCAGTTCCTGCACTTTGCAAGGTGGGTTTGCAAAGAAAGAGGGAGCGAACAAAGGCCTGTTGCTCTTTCGACAAGATTCCTCACAATCCTCTCCAACTGGCTTCAAGATTAACCCTCTTCCACTTCTAAGCTGTGCCGTGTGACCTCTCTCTGAAGGGCTTGTTTAGATATTTCTGTCTGAACCTCTGACCCTTGCAGATACAACATTGTTGCTGTTGACCCCAGTGCATTTTCCCTTTGCTAAGTGTCATTCATTAAAAATTCAATATATGTGTACATGTATGGGTCTAGTCAGTGTATTACAAATTAATATTTGGATCACACTTCATAACAATAGAACAGTTGGGATAGCTGGGTGAATAGATGGAGGCAAAGTTTATAGAAGCATCTGGAGATAGGGTGAGATAGGATGAAATAGGATGAGATGAAGTAAGTTGAGAGAAGGCTTGAGTTCACGACAACTCCCAGCATAGACTAGTTGGGCTGAATGGCCTGTTGCTGTGTCATCTGTCAGTGCAGACTCGATGGGTCGAAGGGCCCTTTCTACACTTTATGATTCTATTTTCTTTCGTAAACTGAGGGAACAGTGCCGTGGAATGCAAGTTGGAACATGTCGACTGGATGTGTTTGAGACAGGAATCATCAGCTGAGAAACCACCTCAGCACCATCAATGTAGCTACTGTACTGGCAATGAGGATTACAGTCAATTTCAGACACACTATGCTGAAGGTAATGCGTTTGTGTCTGATCCTCAGGTACAACTAGAATCGGCACTGAAGACGCCCCCGTACCTCAGGATATTATATTACAAGGAGAGGACGTAGCAGCTGAACACTGCTACATTGAAAACCAAAAGGGGATGATCAAGCTGTACCCGTGTGGAAACTGCTGCACGATGGATGGACTTCCAGTAAAAGAACCCACTCAACTAACACAGGGTAGGTGTGGTTTTGGTTGCACAATCTCATTGTTGTTGCCTGTCGTTTGGAAAGATGAGGTGTGGGTGGGTCTGTGTGTGCCATGCGTCAGCCTGGTGAGCATATTGATACAGCAAGCATACAGCATATAGGGCATACAGCAAGCAGCTTCAGTTGTATCACAGATGTTGGGATGGATATACTCTTTGCAGGGAGACATTGGCACAGCGTGTATGTCACTGGACTAGTAATGCGCTGGGGAGCACAGGTTCAAATCCCACCACGGAGCTGGTGAAATTTAAATTCCATGAACAATTCAATTAATTGATCGTGAAAGTCAGTTGGCAGTAGTGGTCATTCAGTTGTTGCACTTAGTAAGAATAGATGAGATTGCCAGCAGAGTTGGTGCTTACGTTTGTTGGAAAGTTCAATATTTAAGTGCATCAGTGGACATGGAGGAATGTCCCAGTGTAGCTTCATTCACATCCTTTAGACATTGAAGAGGGACAGTTTGAAGGGTATCAGATACCAGAGGGTGAGCATAACCCTCCACCTGATATTTTTACCTGATGCTGCAATGCTCATGTTATCTCCTGCAACATTAGAATTGTGGTATTGAAGAAGTCAACAGATTTTTATCACAATTAAATATTATGCATGAATATTACATTCCTTAGCCCCGTAAATGTCTGGGCTAATGTTAAGCCAGCAGGTTACAAGAGAACATTTTGCTTCCAGGAGCATGTCATGCTTCAAGCAATCTGTGGTAAGATGGAATATGAGACCTTCATCCCTTCTGGTTGCATAGATATATATGGGTATACTGACCAGGAGACATAACACAACCATCCTGCTTTTAGTGAAGAAAAAAGTTTCTCCTGAGCAGACGTATATGGTTGTGCATAGGCACTTGTTATCAATTTGATGATTATGTAAACAGGTACAATAGAGTTAATAAGACTAACATTTTAGACTTCAGTGTAACACTTTGGAGGTTTGACAACATGTTTAGGTGGTAATCATACGCTGCCTGCTGAATTACATGTTGTTCACAGTTGTGCTTGTTTGATTACTAGTTGTATTGCTGCTGGTTGCTGCCCCTTAATATCGTTGCACAATTGTCATCATTGGAATGTTCTTCCTCATTATCCATGTGCATGATTGATGTGCTGTACAATGGTTTGAAATGGATTCTGTTCCTTTGCAATGTAGCACCATGGTCAGTCATGACTTCATATGACCTGGGCTGGTTGCATAAGTTTTGTTGGTGTCTCAGTGGAGGCATTCCCTGGGTTGTGAATAGGCTCTGTTCTGGAGTCCATTCACAAGTCGATTTGTATGCAAGTTGGAACACAACGCAGGACAACGGAAAGCAGTGGTTTGTAAATATAGGAAATGGTCTTTAAAATTATAATCATGTATGTGATTGTGTTCGTAAGTTGGATGTTTGTAAATTGGGGACCCCTGTATTTGTATTTTGAACTTGCACTGTCTGCTCAGTGCATAGTTTTAATAGACCTCTTCCTAGTGTTGCATTGTGTACCTCCTTCACATTCCTTGGGGTATTTAAAAAATGGCTGAAGGCACTGGAAATTGTAAATAGACTGCAGTGGCTGTGTTACTACTGAAGATATGAGTTCAAATCGCTGTGTGACATTTGTGATTCAAATTCAGTTAATTCATAAAGTTGTGATACCTCACTGAAGTATTGTGTTGGAAATCAAGCCCCACTATCAAGGATTTCTAAAAGCACACAGAATTCTCCAATTTACCTGAGTTTCAGACCCAGGTTGACAGGAAGCTCAGACCAAGTTCATGGAATTGGAGCAGCTACATGCAGGAAAGTCCACATCAGAGCAGGGGGAGACATTCGAAAGGGTAATAGTGAGAGTGCAGGGCCAACACGTTCCTGTCAAGGTGAAGGGTGGGACCAACAAGTCCAGAGAACCCTGGATGTCAAGGGATGTACAAAATTGATTAAGGGAAGAAAAGGACACTTGTGGTAGATGCTGAAGGTAGAAGAAAGAGCAGGGGATTGGTTTAAAAAAAACAAATTAGGAGAGCAAAGATGGGACATGAAAAATGGGTAATATTAAAGAAAATGTAAAGGCATTTTATAAACATTTTGGGGGATGAGAATAACCAGGGAAAGCATACGGCCCGGTTGGACCAAAGTGGTGATATGTCTGTGGAACCTGAAGACATACCTGAGGCTTGAACTCAGTACTTTGCAATACTATTCACTGTAGAGACGGATGATGTAGGTACAGAAATCTCACTTAATGGCGGCACAACCTTTTTCTGTTCACGAGATCCGTTGCCACACCTTTAGGCTGTCGCATCATTAGATCTTTTGTTACTGATCTCTTCTGGCCTCCAGTTTATCACAGACCTTCTTTGTAATTCATATTCTCCTCCCCTGACCATCACTGGGCTAAAAGTTCTTTCACTTCCATTAGAACTGAAGAAAGATGGAAGATAATTGACCTTAAACATTATTTCCTTTTCTCTCCACAGACATTGTCTGGCTTACTAAGTGTTTATAGTCTTTTTTCTTTTACTAACCTCCCGACCAATGGGCTATAACCTAGAGTAATGCTGAAGAAAAGACATTTTATTGAAGGTTGTCAACTTGCATTCATCAGGATGTTCACAAGAAATACAAATGTGAAAGGGGTAACAACTTTTTTATACAGTATACTTCTTATACTATTACACTGACCAATCAGAGTGAATTTGCCTGGTTTAAATTGAAACAAAACTTGGCAGTTAACTGAGATAACAAGGTGTGGAGCTGGATGGACACAGCAGGCCAGGCAGCATCAGAGGAGCAGGAAAGCTGACGTTTCAGGTCTGGACCCTTTTTCTGAAGAAGAGTCCAGACC